CATCACCCACCAACTTTTTTTTTAAATGGTGAACCAGGAATCTTCCACAGATTGCTCCATCTGACGGGTCACAATAGCAATTCAACAGGTTAAGTCCTAGCCACCCATTTGAAGTTATACATCTGGAAAAATATCTGTATTTTCATAACTACTCTGAGAACTTACAACCCCTTGAGTCCAACTAAAGTACTTTTCGAGGAAGAGGAGAGGGTGGGATTAACTGGCAAAGTTCCAGATGTTGCTGAGATTCAACACCCTTCATCCTTGACCAGAGCTGAGGTGACTCTGGAACTGTAGCCCAGCTACATCTGGAGGATTCACATGTCACAATCCTGCTCTATTCAACAGGCCACCCTGGCTCTCAGTTTGACTACAACAGAAGAAAAGAGAGCGAGGCAGCTGTGATGACATGTGTTTCCTTTTGTAGAAGGCTAGTCCTGCTTCTGTTTAAGAGGGAAAGTACACAGAACTATATCTTAAACATCTTCTTGTGTCAAGATGGTTTACTCATGCATACGGTATTGATTTCTTGTAAGTTGAAACGAGCATGCAGAACACTTTCAACAAGTCGCCAAGAGGCTGAATCATTAAACCAGCCGAATGATTTAACAGCTCCCTTCCTCCCAAGGATATGTTTCCCCTACCCACCCACTCACTTGCTGCTAGGAGAAACCAAAGAGCATAAATTATATATGTGATACATTACCAACACATATTTTCATCCTTCTTAAAGGGGCCCAGCATTGATTCAAAAATCTCATTTTATCTAAGTGATAAACTTGCTTATAAGTAATTTAGCAACTAATTGCTTACAATTAAACTGGAGGTCCCAATTAAAGGGCAGAGTGGATGTGAGCTCTTACCATACTGTGGCATTTGATTTTTTTTTAATTCAATCTCTCTTTTTTACAGCTTTTCACTATGTGCCAGAAGCTCAGCTGAAATAGAAAACTGACATCAGTTGAAGTGGAGTGGAGTGGAGAACAAGGACGATTAATTGCACAAACGTTATTTTCATTGCGCTTTCTATACACTGGGCTGGCCTGCCTGCACATCAGAATAATTATTAATGTTTTTATTGTTACATTGAGGTATCAGCCAAGTTTCTACACAAGAGAAATAAATCAGTGCTTCCATAAAATATACCTCCTAAAAGCCCTTCCTTCTCCCAAATAAAACACTTCGTTTTAAAAAATCCATAGAAAACTGCATTAAATAAATGTTTATGAGCATTAGCATGGCAAGCAGCCAAACAGTAAGAAAACTAAGTGGTTTTTTTCACCAGTCAATAGAAGGTAAATAAGGATGTTTCTTGGCCAATTTCCCTGGCAAGATATTCTATAAATGTAGATTTACATTTGCATGTTCTCCATAATTCATTCTGCTTCCAGTGCTTATATTTTTGCTTTATTCTGTTCTTGCAATGAAGGGTTAGATTAAAAATGGTGCTGCATTAATTGAAATGGATCCAAGCACAACGTAATTCTACTCAAAAGTAACAACCACTGAATTCTGTGAACCAATTCTTAAATAACTGTGGGACCTTTCTCTGGATGCAACACAGCGCATATAGAAGGGCTTAGAAAGAAGAGTAGCAGTATTTATTTTCTTTTTATAATCTATTCTTTTAAAATTTGATTAGTTTCTCCTCCCCCATGTGACATGCGATAAGGAATAGAATTTAGTTTGCCAGATTTAAAAAAATCAAGCAAGAGTAGCAAAACAAAAATAATGAAACCATCAATGTACAAGAGGAGTAATTATACTCTCATAACAATTCTCAAAGAACAAAGTCAAAATAATCTACCAACAAGGCTCTCTTTTCAAACAAAATAAAATATCTTAAGCTGGCACTTAAAACATAGTACAGAAGATGCCTGATGCCTAAACGTATAGCCATAATAGTCAACTTTAATTAGTCAGAAAAGGAACAAATTCATGAACAACGAAGATAGCAATGCTTTGAAGTTAAAAGAGCTAGCTAATCTTTTCACTTCAAACCACTGCTAACTTTGACTATAGGCTCAGAATATATCTCCATACATGGAGAGCAGCAGGTAAGGCAAAGCTCACATACATCTTAAATCAAGCCTATATCTAATCCAGCATGGCTAGTATTAAATTCTTATCAAGATATTTGATCACCTTGGACTGCAAGGCAATCAGACCGATCAGTCCTAGAGGAGATCAATTCTGACTCTTTAGAAGGCCAGATCATGAAGAGAAAACTCAAATGCTTTGGCCACCTAATGAGAAGGAAGGACTCACTGGAGAAGAGCCTCATGCTGGGAAAGATGGAGGACAAAAGAAGAAGGGGACGACAGAGAATAAAGGTGGCTGGGTGGAGTCACCGAAGCAGTTAGTGTGAGCTTCAATGGACTCCAGAGGATGGTAGAAGCCCTGGAGGAACGTTGTCCATGGGGTCGCGATGGGTCAGACACGACTTCGCAACTAACAACAACACAAAGCAAGTATAGCCAAAAATGATCTTTCACCTTATCTCTGAAATTCAGGGCATGCAGGTAAGAGCTTCTGAAGCAAATAACATCCAGGTATGAACAAGTAAGAGCTTCTTGTCCTTCAACAGGCAACAAGGAAAGATAAGGTACAAATTACCAGTATATCCTTTTTTTAGGTTGTGCTTTTTGCTACACAGGTAGTCCTCGAATTACGGCCACAATGGAGCCCAAGCTTTTTGTTGCTAAGCGAGACAATTGTCAAGTGAATCACGCCCCATTTTACTATGTTTCTTGCCACAGTTGTTAAGTGAATCACTGCAGTTGTTAAGGCTGTAACACGGTTATTAAATGAATCTGGCTTCCCCAATGACTTTATCTGTCAGAAGGTTGTAAAAAGGTGGATTACATGATCCCGGGACACTGGAACATCATAAATATAAGTTTCCAAGCATTGGGAATTTTGATCTCATGACGATGGGGATCCCACAATGGTGATAAGCATGAAAAAGGTCAGAAGTCAATTTCTCTAGTGCCATTGTAACTTTGAACAGTCAGTAAACACTAAAGTGTTGTAAGTCGAGGACTACCTGCACCACAGTATAAACCCAGCTCAGCTCTTTTCCTATTGCCGTGATGGCGAACCTATGGCACACAAGCCGTAGCCCAGCTCAGCTCCACCAAGCTTGTGCTTGAGACTCCCGCCAGCCAGCTGATTTTCAGGTCTCCGCAAAACACTATACAAGCCATCTACATCCAACAGGAACAGGTGCCTCAAAAGAGTAGGTAGAGCTAAAACCTAGAGAGGCAGGAAATGCATCACTGAACAATGGAGATGAATGCTAGAGAGGAATAAAGCTGCATACAAGGCTGACCTAACACTTGTAACAGCGTAGGCATGCAGGGGGAGAGTGGGGGGAGAGCAGGGGGCGGCGCTCCCCACACCCCTTTTTTGGTCCTAGGATGCTTCAGGGAGGCCTGATAGACCCAAAACAGGGCGTGGGGGAGTCGCATGCACGGGGGGGGGGTCCCATGCGCAAGGGGGCGTAATGTATTATGAGTGTGGGCACTGTCATGCGCATGTGCGCTTTCAGCACACGAGAACAAAAAGGTTAGCCATCACTGTCCTATGGGTTTCTAAGATTCTCCGAAAATACTTAGGAGCAATGCTCAAGGTGCTAAAAGAGAAGACAGATACAAATAATAGCAAACTTCGCACTGCAACTCACTTAGCTATTGCAATCACATAGCCATATCATTATTTTTTTCAAACAAATCCCCACCCCAAATCAAGGCTGAATCCTAATAAGATTGTACACAAATCTTGGCAGCAAACCTTCCTTATATAAAAAGAGCACAGATGGCAATTCCCAGAATACCAAATTTGATCTGAATCTTACATAAAATGCTGACACCCTCCGGTATTCGATTTGACAGGAGAAAAATTCCAGCTATTTAGCCTTGAACACAAAGCAATGATACTAAAGCAAAAAAAAAAAAAAAAAGCATAAAAATCTCCTCACCCACATTTTATGGAGCTTCAACTGGTATTCTGGTCTTTTATAAAATTAGGATTGGCAATGGGGTTTGACCCCAGCACAATTCCCGTCTATCCTTATTATTAGCAGCTTCTCTCTTTCGACTCCTACAGTATTGTGTAATAATAGCAACAACGGTTTTGGTAGAATTCATTTCTGGCAAACGTTAAGAAGCTGAGAAGAAAATACACATTTTCTTCATGTTGGAGTTCTGACTTTGGCAGAAGAGGTTTAAAAAGAATCCCGTTTGGTTGTTGTTGTCCTCAAGAGAATGAAGGCATTGGGAAAAAGACACCATTGGCCCTTCAGCTTTTCCATTAGGCAAAAATACAATGGTACCTTGGTTCTCAATTGCTTTGAAACTCATAGAATCAAGTACTCAACACATTCTGACATGAACATTTTAACCCAGTACTCGTTGTCGTTCGTTTGGTACCCAATGCACAAGCTAGAACTTGTCGGTGTTGGCTGCCTTATGACTGACTATGTTATTCCTTATGGGAAAAATTTGTTTGGTACCTATCATTTTTGGTGCTCATCATGCCTTCCAGACCCAATTAACGATAAGTACCAAGGTACCACTCTACATCTCTATTCAAAATGAACTGATTATCAAGGCCTCCCCTCAAATACACTGGGTCTGCAACTTCAGAATTCCCAGTTTGCATGAGGAATTCTATTAGGCATGCTAACTGGGGATGCTAAGCAGAACAGGGCCAAAATATCTGGAAGCATCACAATGTGGGAAGTTGTACTGGAAGACAGAAATCAAGCAGAAAATTCCAAGCAATCTAAGTGTTAGCAATCACCGAGTTGAGAAGCCTTAGAAATGTAATTAATAATAATAATTCCAGCAGCATACCACTTAGACAACAAATTCAAAGTAATGGACTGTTCTTCATAAATACATCTTTTCTCAAGTACGCTACTTTTACTTTGTATTGTATTTCCAAACAATTTTTCTTCCTAGCTTGCAATTCTAAGGAGAAATGTTTTAAAGACTTACTGTGAATTTGTTTACAAGGTGACCAAAACTGACAGCTATCTTCCAAGTTAGTTCTGCTTCTTCATAGTCCAAATGGTGGCATCTCTCCTTCAAACTAAAAAACAGGAAACTTGTTCCACTGGATTGCCATACCTTGTTTTATATAAAGATAGCAACGCAGCTGGATACGCCCCCAGGGTGAGCAGTATTATATGGTGACATGTACTCCTGAACCACAACAATGCCTTTTTAAAGTAAGTCTAGGAACCCATCCTTTCAGTTTGGAAAAGATTTGAGAAAAAATAAATAAATAACTGATGGGCTGAATTAAAGATTCTAGTACATGAATAATATATGTCACCATTTGCAGAAAAGAAACAGTGGACCCAAGTTGTAGCCAAATGTTTTAGCATAGCCATTAGGATAAACTTCTGAATTGCAAAAGTGGTAGAATTCTAGAATGGGTGTCCTACTCGTGGCACTGTTATTGGAAAAAATCAACAAGCTAGGTTAAAGAAATGCCCAGTTGGAATTAGTTTTAAATTATAGGTCATTTTTGTCTCAGGTTTGCTCACCAATGAAGTTGAAGGGAGGAATTAAGGCAATTAGGAGGTAGTCTGGTTCCTGCAGGATCACTCAGTCTTGATAATTTCACTGAGATTCCAGTCAACTTTTCAGCCAATGATCAACCAATCCCAAAGTTTTAAAGGATTTTGAAGGCAGTTTTAAGTGCCAAAAATGAACATGTTTTTGACGGGAAGCAAAACAAATACAAAGAACAACGAAGTAATTCTGTACACTGTGTTGCCTTCTATAACAGCCTTCTGTCTTTTGAAAATGATTTTGTAGGTAGTTGCCTAAGAAACCACAACACAGCTATTTCCTGGGCGAAATCTTTTCCTCAGTGTGAGTCGACAATGCTTTGTTCAGGATGACACCGTGAGTTGGAAGGAGGAAAAAACTGAGCCCGTCCATTCTTGAAGCTGAAAAGGAGAGAAACACAATTAAATACAAAGAGAGAGGGGGGGGGAAATCCCACAGCTACACAAAGATAAAATGTATCATATCATCTGGGGTTTGAAGAACTATTTACAGCTTGCTTTGAAAAATAATTTTCACTGATTACTGGAAGCTATTTTTCAAATGATACAATGACCATAGCAGATTTTAAAATCTAAGATGTAGAACTAACAGAAGACACAGATATAATGAAGCGTTGCAGCCAAAGCTGCCAATTGTAAAGCAACAGAAAAAAGCCATTCCATTATATTTCGCTCCTTTATTATCTCTTTTCAAACCTTTAAATAGTTTCATTATATGCTGCATATACTATACAATGGCTGGGCTTACATACTGCGCTAAGTCATAATCTGATTCAGCATCTCATGTGAATTTAGTCATTGTGATTCAAAGGGTCTCAATACACCAACTCAGTGCAATACAGTTCTAAAAAAACATAGTTTATGATGTAGCATGTTGAATGAACAACCAAATCAGATTTAATCAAGAAACTAAGTTAAGGAAGTTTGAGTGACCTGGAATGTCCCTTGCCGAAAGCTAGACCTTTAAAACCCTCAGCTACTCCTGATTCAGAGGTGGTATTCAGCAGGTTCTGACCAGTGCTGGAGATCCGGTAGCGGAAATTTTGAGTAGTTCGGAGAAGCAGTAAAATACTACCTCTGACTGGCCCCCATTTATTCTCTGCCCCCATCTATTCTCTGCCTCCCAAATCCCACCTGATCGGGAGGGTATGAGGATTTTGCAGTAATCTTCCCCTGGAGTGGGGAGGGAATGGAGATTTTACAGTATCCTTCCCCTGCCATGCCCATCAAGCCACGCCCACAGAACCGGTAGTAAAAAAAATTGAATCCCACCACTGTCCATTGTATTAGCAGAACGCAATCAATCCCTATGAATCTTAATTGCAATGCCACAGAAATTTAAAATACTTTAATTTTGCATACTAATAACTGAACCCAAAGTCTGGATAAATGGCGTAGGTTGAGGTAAGACCTGGAGACCTACCGGTACCTTGTAAAAATCTTGCCAAGAGACTTTTATGGAAAGATTTTCAAAGGAATTCAACATGCTGCCATAAGGTACAGGTAGTCCTTGACTTACAACCACAACTGAGCCCAAAATTTCTGTTGCTAAGCAAAACATTTAAGTGAATTTTGCCCCATTTTATGACCTTTCTTGCCACAGTTGTTAAGAGAATCGTTGCTAAGTTAGTAAGATGATTATTAAGTGAATCTGGCTTCTCTACTGACTTTGCTTGTCAGAAGGTCGCAAAAGGTGTTCACATGACCCTGGGACACTACAACCGTCATAAGTATGAGTCAACTGCCAAGTGCCTGAAGCGTCTGAATTCCACATTTGCAATTGTGATGAAAAATGGGTTTGAACTGCTGGACGCTGCTGGAAAGATGACCAGCGTAATGTGGCAACGAGTTCAATCAACCAGTGGTGAGATTCACTTACCTTCCCTACTGGTTTGCAAATGTGACCATGTGCACACACGCGCTTCACTCACTCGTGCTACGTCTGTGCATGCACAGATGCAGCTGCCGCTACCAGTTTGCCCGAACCAGAGAGGACCAGCTGAATACCACTTCTGCAATCAATTATCGTTAAAACAGCAGTTGAACACATACAAGAAGCCCGAGGAAAAACTGTAAACTGGCTCCCAGATGAAACTAATCAGAATATAGTTGAACGAAGAAAAGCAGTAGGCAAATGGGAGGAAGAAAGTGGGTTGAATGCAGACTCCAACAGAACAGTAAGGAAAAACAAACGAAGTTTACTAGGACTAGCGTAGCAAGCAGCTCTGCGTGAAGTGCCACATCAGGAATCCATTTGTACCGGTCAAAAGGATCCAAGCACCATTTACTGCTCATAAAAGCATCATCACAAACAAGCAAGGGAAAGAATTGCCTGACCAACAAGGCGTCAAGGACAGATGGTGAGAATATAGGGAAGAGCTGTATGCCAGCAATAAAGAGGCCCAGCCTCCTCAGGATGAGGAGGAAAGGGAAGCAGAAATGGAAGCAGCCATTCTTCAGGAGGTTGTGTGGACAACGAGGCAACTGATGACAAACAACAAGGGCCAAAATGTTGATACCATCCTCAAAGAACTGTCGAGGCCAACAGCACCACAACATCACAGCCCTGTGCTAGAAAATTTGGGAAATGAACATATGGTTGCAGGATTGGAAATGAACAGCATTCGTTCTCTTGCCAAAAAATGTGACTCCAAGGATTGTTCCAATTACCACGAAATTGCCCTTATTCTTCATCTTAGGCAAGATTCTCCTTAAGATCATCTGGCACCAGCCATCAAAAGATAAGTAGCAGACGATCAAGCTGGCTTCAGAAGGAGTCATGGCGCTCGTGACCATATTGCAAATCTATGCTGGATAATAGAAGAATCTCAAGAATATATTATTTTTAATCTACATCTGCTTTATTGACTACAAGAAAGCCTTCCATTGTGTTAATAATGACAAGTTGTGGAAATCTCTAGAAGCCTGAGGTGCCAACACATCTGGTCAACATGATGCAGTCATGCTGTCACAAATCAGGAAGCCACTGTGCAAACATCATATGGAGATGCTGATTGGTTTATCAGCACAAATAAAAATAAAAAAAATCACACACACACAAACATAGATAGATAGATAGATAGATAGATAGATAGATAGATAGATAGATAGATAGATAGATAG